AATAGATTACAAAATAGCAATCAAAGGCAGCTAGTCATTTTTTCTGCAGTAAGTGATTAACCTGGGCCTCGTTTTGTATCACAATTACCGGAGAACTCTCATCCTTTCGCACGTAGACTTTACCGAAAGATGTCCAGCAGAACTTATAGTTTTTCGACTTTGAAAGATCCCTGGCGAGATAAAAGAGTCGAGCTGCCCTTGCGGTTAATTGCTCAGATACAAAAACAGGCGTGTTCTCTTCTTTGGTGAAGCCAAGATGTATGGCACGTAATTTATCCTTATTTTTAATGTTAAATGGTGGTGGTGTTAAAAACTTACAGGATTTAAGAAAATCGCTTCTTAAGATAGTTGATCCTACTTCAAAGATGATTGGATTATCCTTTTTTCCTTCCTTTCTACCCTGCACTCTAAAAATGTCCTTGATGTCCGATTTCTCAATTTTGCAATTTACATTTCGAGACAAATTAAGTACCATATTTATCAGTTCGGCATTAGTCTCATTGGTTTTCTTTGGAACATTTTTTATTTCTATACAAGTTTTACGGTTTGTACGTTGCATATCTTCGATTTTGTTTTCAAGGACAACAATGTGTTCCCTATCTTTTCTTGTCTGAGTTTCCAGTAGGTTGATTTTCTTACATAACTCTTCGTTTTGATTTAAAAGGAAGGTAATTGAATTTTCGATTTTGTGGCTTGTCTCTTGTATCTCCTTAAGGTTTGAAGTAATCGTACGAAGTTCCGACCGCTGAGCAGATAACATAGAGGATATCATCCCCTTGATTTCCTCTTTGAAGTCATTTAAATCCAAGCGAGAGACTTCCTCTCCTCTCTTTTTTATACGTTGAGTCACATTATTGGGCGGTGTTTTCTCCGAGCTTAGATTGGAGTTGGAGACAGATTTATCCATTTGAACTCAGTATAAAGTTACAAGGCGATAGAAGTCCAGCCAATATGACAGAGGTCTTAATAATTTGCCAACGATCGACAACCTCACACAAAATTACTGTCCGTCCAGTTTAGTTAGACCCCTAACTAGTCGGTATTATTTCGGATGTATTGTATGATTAAAATATGATGGTAATAAATTTCTATATGTGCACAAACCAATGTATCTGCTCAGTAGTGAAGTCCACAGATAATTTACTTCATGTAATGGAATAGTTTTAATAACACATCAGCGTTACTCACTTTGAAACTCGCCACACAAACACAAATGCAGATACCGGAGTTAGAAATACTCCAAATAATGCCGTCTCCGTCACTCGCCGTCATTAGTGGTATTGAAGGTCGGTCATTCACCTCGGAGAGGCGATATTCCATTCACACACTGGATGATTCACTCGTTTTGTGTTTCTTGATTTTAAATTTTTGTCAGTTGTGAAGTTTAAATTTCGATTATAATCTTGATTTTTGGATCAAATTTAATGCTGATTTATGCACTATGTAGCTCTTTAACTAGGCTACCTATTTATATAAAATTTTATGCCAAGTAATTACTTTTTACACAGCTTAAGATTTTTTGTTTGAAGAACACACCAAAATACGTATTGACACAAAAGCGTCGGAGGGGGAGGAGGAAATAAATATAAAATATATATTTTTATATTTATCCAAATACACCAAAAATTTCATTTGTGCTTTTTAACTGCAGGATTTGCGGTGTATTATTGCATTTTATTTGAGATGTTTTCGTTGATATTACGGAGTGTATTTATTTAGCAATGCTGAATTACAATTTTTATTTATAAAAACTTGTATTTAAACTGAATGCTTTTCTAATTTGCGAAACCAGATAGCCGCCTTTTTGCGGTTGGTAGTAGCTATCCTTTAAGGGCCGAGTAGGTGGGGATAGCGCATCGTGTGAGCGGCTAATGTTAAACTAATGCAATTGTTGATATTACTGCACAGTAATTACGAAAATGTTATTCACACGAGGTGCCTTGCACATGTGTTAAACTTGGTTGTGAAGAGGGGATTAAAGAAGATAGAGAAACCTAATTCAGATGTTGCTAAATTAGTAAATGTTATGAATTTATCGCCAAAAAAGAAACAAATGTATTTTGTAACTTGCAAATTATTGGATGCTCCTCAATTGAGTCTTCTCCAGGAAATGTCCATACAATGGAACACAGTCTAGTTGATGCTAAACCGTGCATATACTATGAAGACCGTTTTGGATCACATATGCAAAGAGAAAAGAAAATTCAAAGAGTATCTGATAGAAAACTGGGATGAAATAAACGATTTGATACGATTTCTTTAACATTTCTAAGATGCCACTTTGTTGCTTTCGAAGTCTAAATACCCTAGCCTATTTTATGTAATACCCATATTGGTCGCTATAAAGGAACACGTTACAAATAATGCAAATAATGAATTCTTTAGAGATTGTGTTATAGCTATGAACGAAAAATTGGTAGAATACATGCCACACTTGTACACTGATTTCGCAAAATTTGCCGTGGTATTAGACCCACGTCTAAAAAATATTTATTTTTCTGATCAAGGTAACGAAGAAGCCTTGATGCGTTTTAAAACTTACTATAAACACCTATTATCATGCAAACAGTGGACAAGAACAGATAGATAGATAAACATTTTATTGCTCACACACAAGAACAAGAATAATATATAAACAACTTAAAACCAATGTGGGCAAAGTCGGTCTTATCGCTAAGAGCGATCTCTTCCAGACAACATTAAAGTTAGAGGGTGCTCATTACGAATATGGCACTTGTTTGTAAATCCAAGATGGCGGACACGATTTTTCAAAAAAATGCATTACGGGTATCCTTTTCGAGATATTTGGGAATGCTGAATACGAATATGACAATCATTTCTAGATCCACGATGGCGGACACGATTTATCGAATAATGGCAAGTTGAGTATCGTTTTCGAGGTATTTGGGGGAGCCCATTACGAATATGGTACTC